CCCTGGCAATTCCGATGCGGATACGCTCCGCATCCTCGGCGCCAATGCCCTTGATACTCCTGAATGCTTCGTGGATCATGTCTCGGAACTTAGGGTAGTGCTCTACGAGACTACCATCCGCTCCGATGTCTATGGGCTCGTCCTTGGTCTCTTTTAGCTTACCGCTTTGGATAACAATACCAGCTAAGGCCACAGCCGATAGTCGTGCGGCTCGACGACCGACAGCATAGGAGACGTCCTTGAAAGCCTGCGCCTCTTCGACTGAAGCAGAACGTATCTGGAGCTGGGAGTCAAGCTCCTTCCGCAGATTTGAAAGCTCGGGCGTAGAATCGCCCACGGCAATTGACATCAATGAGCTATCAAGGCCCCATTGCTGGAATAAGCCTGAGCCTTCGCTGACTCGCGTAGTGAATGTCCGGTCGCCGGCGCTTGAATTTGCATCCTTGAATAGAGATAGGTTAGGGTTCTCGTATAGGTCGACAATGGCTAGGCGGACGATTTCTCCCAAGAACATTCCGGATACTCTCTTTTCGAAAATCTGTATACCCGGGTTGACGCTGTCCTGGTCCAACTTTGCATCATATGGGGTATTGGGTAATACGTTGAGCTGGTTATCAAATGATCCCCATTCAGTGTTTATTACCATCTCGCCAGTCGATTTATCGTAATCCCCATCCACAGACTTTTGCAGATTTGAGATCTTCTCGACGTAGGCACCGTTTGTTCCGGTTCCGAATATAGCTCCGATAAGCGTACCAGTCTTGCCGGGTGATGTGTAGGAACGTGCCATCAGGGTGCCAACGGTGTCATTTACCAAGGCTGCTACTTTTACAGGAAGGTGAAGTAGATCGATTTCCTCTTGTAATAAAGCGCAGACATCCTTGCCAACTGCGTCGGGGATGTCAAACCCTTTAGTCCATCTTATGAGGGAGCCCTTGTTGATCCCAAACTGTTGAACCGGAAAGCTGAATGTGAAACCAAGTTGGAAGATATTCTCGTCTTCATACCCTTCAGCTACCTTCGAATTCTTTCGCCGACGAACGTGTGCTTCGAAGTGTTCTTCGTGATGTGTTATCAAGAAGAGCTCAATCTGTTTAGCTAGGAAGCCAAATAGTTCCTTGGAGCTCTTGGCGACCATCAATTCTCTTGGGATGGCGACCTTGCTGTATGTAAGGTTGAAGGTGGTGTCACCATTGAGATGAACTGAACAGACTCGGAAGTTGGTGCCCCCTAGATCGACGGCCATATACAATCCCTACAGAATTGTCAGTATTGAGTAGAAAGTGCAAAATGCGAAGTGAGCAAGAACCTTCTCAGTGCCGTTTGGCACGCCGGTAACGTAGGTCGGGATTTGACTCAGACTAGTACCATCTTTCTGCAACCCCTCGTCTATTAACACGTTAGCATGCGACTCGAACGTGTCGAATATGTTAGATGGCTTCGTTGATCGTACTCATCTGGCGCAGAAACTCCTGGACACCGTTGTTCACATCGTCGTCCGTGTAATCGAACTGCGCCACGATGCGCTTTGTCTCTTCTACCAGAGAATTGGTCATGGTGAGGGCTGGGGAGATGGGCGGCGATGTCGCAAATGGATGTGGGCTTTCACAGACAGCACCTTCAACAATAGCAGCCGGAGGAGAAGAAAATGTGCGCTGGAAAGGATGCGACGCGAATATATGAAGATATTGGATTTTGAAATCGACGAGAAACAGCTGGGTAACCTGGTTTTTGGAGGGGCAAATCAGCAAGGGCAGAGTGCGTTTGCGCCGAGTACTATGTCATGCATACGACCCAGCTGGGGGCTGCGGGGGAGCCCAGCCCCTAGCGAGGGTCTAGGGGGGGAAACAAACGGCTCAAACGGCCCTTTTGGGCAAAACTCACCAGGACAACCGCCAGAAAGACTACGGAGAAAGAGTATATTAAGGCGGGTGCAGGTCGTTGCACCTCAGCAGCCTTTGTGGGCTGTCTCACTTCCTTTGCCAGATGCTCGTCGTCCGTTGTTGGAGAGGGAGTCGTACGTGGGGGATTATGAACGTGATCATCATCAGCTCTGGCGCCGAAGCGCCAGGCTCCCACAGACGCTGACCAGGCCTTAGGAGCCACGGCGAGTTTCGCGGGGTTATTAGCGGGGTACCGCCTTTTCCCTTACTGGCCTCCTGCAATTTGGTCGGGGGAGGCTTCCAAGAGCCGCCAGCGCCCGCAATGTACCCCAGTAGACGGTCCGAGAAATGGCGGGTGGTGCCAGGGGATAGATAACACACACGACAGATAATGGATAGGTACTGAGGCACAGGGCAAGGAAGGAAGGCACTGCAGTGACAAAAAGGCCGCAAATTTGATAGTACAACGCTCCAACGCTCCAACGCTCTAAGTCGACCCGCTGCTACAGAGCTAGGTTAGGCGGTGCAGGCCACTCCGCTAGTGATGGTTATGAGGTCATGGGCGGTCCACCTCGGCGGAAACTGGCCTCGATACTCAGATCTAGACCTAAGTTCTGACCGAGGTCCTGTTGTACGACAACACGGATCGGGGAGCTGGACAGCCAGGACAACCAGGACAGGTCAGGTCAGGTCGGGTACCGGGTTGAGGACTGAAGACAGGGGTCGGGGGTAGGCGAGAGACCAAGAGCTCGTGTGCAATTGGCAGTGGATGAGGTGATGCTAAAGCTTCCAATGAGACGAATGAGACGGATGCCTTTTCGCCTGATGGTTCAGCCTCTTGTCAGGAGACGGGCACGGAGACGGGCGAATCCGTAGATTCCGGTCACCAGCACTTTCAACACGTATTTACTAGATTGACTGTCTGATTGACTGATTGACTGATTGATTGATCAATTGATTGAGGAGAATGTGACCCGCTTGGCTGACTCGCAGGAGTGCTTCAATTCAGTACGGACTAAGCAAGTAGGTATTAAGCAGGTATTAAGCAGACTGGAAGACGTGACAATTAGGAGTAGGTAGTACGATGCTACGACAAATAATTTATGTGCCAGAAGAGTGTGCAAATGGGATGAGGAATGCAATGAGGAATAGAGGCGGTCACACAGACTCAGTTTGTTGGGAAGTCGACGGGTCATATGAGACATGTAGTAGAAGTGGAAGGAGGAGGAAGTGGAGACTACCTACATGTACTTCGTACTTAATGTATACTATCTACCCAAACTAGACAAAATAGACAGTATCTAACACTTGGCCCAAGACCTGGGGAGAAGCTAGTTGCGAAGAAGCTATCGTCACAAGAAGTTGGGAACTCACTAATCATCAAAAAGTGATAGTCTAGCATTGCTGTTGCTGCTAGTAGTTGTTTCCCCATGGCGCAAAGCATACACCATGCTTGCTAGGTCAGGATGGGTTAGGTGCTTGTAAGTGTTGTAAGTACTCCGTAGTCTGTTCGATGTTGTGATCATTCCCCAAAAAGCAACATCACAGTTGCAATTCCCAAATCCCCCTGAGAGCCTCAATTTCCAGCACACCCCGACCCCCACACGCTATCCACGACAACTGTAGATCAACAATCTCATATGGTTAAGCAAAGGTGATCTGTCAATGAACGGGTAAGCCTTACTAGCACGAAACATGACTAAGAACTTCACATACTAGATCAAGCCTTATCGTTTCTTTGGCGTATGCCTCGTAATTCGACAAGCTGTACCATTGAGGGTCTCATTACAGCACTGCCAAATGAACCCTTCCGGCCACTCTTCACGCCGCCAATCTGTATTAACATCAACGCTGCCGACACCATACTGGATGTCATCATCGTCTGGGAAAACATCCGGGTCGATGTCGAGGATACCTAGAAACAGGGCAGTGTAAGTCTCAATGTCTACATAGCGTAGGAGGCTGGGGTTGGTGGCTAACCCGTGTGTGTCTGACACGCTGTATCGTTATTGACCGTGACGTCGTATGTCCTATCACAGATCCCACATTTCTCAAACCTCAATATTTGCGTGACTTCGGCTTTCTTCTGCTTCTTATTCTGCTTTTGGGCGTCGTCGTCGGACGAGTCGGATAATTCTACAATGTCTCGCTTCCGCGACACGAGCATCCGCTCCGTTGCTTCCTTGCGGCATACTTCCGAGGCTTGGCACATCGATCTCAGGACTGTGCGCAGAGTGTGTTCGTCTGCATTGTCAATGGCGCGTGCCAGAAGCACATCTTGGTTGGCTTTTGTTGGCATTATGATTTGGATTGGAAATGATGCTATGGAGCCTCTGCGGACTAGACGCGTCGGGAAAATGTTGATTAAGGCTATATCGGGACTACGCAATGACCCCAGTCCTCATAATCAAACGACATTGAGAACACCAAGTCCTGAGCAGACTAGCACGCTATTAGAGTATCCTACGTTGCCCATAGGAAGATTATTATATAGTAACTAATATAGCATGGTATTTCAGTCATTGCTTTCCTTCATCGTAATCGAGAAGCAGCCACGAATTGTTAAAACCAGAACAGTCTTGGACGATAGCATCACCCTAGATGATAATGCGTGCCACGAGGCTTACAAGGCTCAACGATGCATTCATGAGTAATATTGGTAGAGTAGACATTGTTTTCTAGATCAACTAAGCAGATTTAACTGACTCGCTGGCTTAGTTTAAATACATTCATTGTTCCTATGTTAGCATAACCTACAGCCCCCGGGTGGACGTACTCTTTAAACAACATGGATCATCCTTATATATAAATACTTCCGAATTATATGTACTGACCTAAAACCCATCGGTATAAAGCTGGCTCCTATTTCAAACAAGATTAAAATAGCCACAGTAAATTTAACGAAAAAAAAAATAGAAGGAAAGCCGATACAGAGGAATTAAGTTCGAAGGATAGAATCGAAATAGAATTAAAGATGCTGAATTAAAAAAAAAAAAAAAAAAAAAAAAAAGGTTTGGTCGCTGCTCTCAGTAATCTGAGAGGCATCAGGAATTGAGCCCGATGCGGGGGTCGAACCTAACACTAGGGTTAGTCACAAATCCACCGACGATAATTTTTTTCCGAGTAAAGGCTTACCCGCAACCTTGAGATTAAGAGTCTCACGCTCTACCGATTGAGCTAACCGGGCATTGTTGAATGTTTTTAGTTGAAATTTCTGTTCATCAATCGAAATCCGATCGAGTCACCCATGCGGCTTTGATGTGTCGTTGCACAACAACATTTGTTCTAGGTATCAGTGTTGATCCGGGCTAGGCAGGTCCTGCTATTTTCTTCCCTTTGCTGGCTCTCATTATTCAAGATGTACGTATATATGGTAGTCTCGATCTCTTGTCCTACGTTCAACATATACACAGTACAACTCTGATCTAATTTACCAACCAAACCACCCTCATACAATAGACCACGCCTATCGACTACATATTGCCACGGGATAGGCTATTACAAGCATACCCTTTTCTTGTCGACTTGGGCCACTCTAAGGCATCTCCAACTTTCCTCATATACGTGTATTTTGGTACCAGGCTCTTGACTGAATAGTGAACTTGTCGTTGACTAGCAAATGGGACTTAACCCCCCTATTTGCTAGTGCCCTGGCACGGACATGGCATATGCCCTAAGTTTTACATATTGAAATATAGACGCAACGGTTATTTTACTGCCCATGATGAGTGTGTGCTGGAACTGAGACATATGAACGAATCTCATTCTTAGCTACATGGAACTGGAAATCTACAACATATAATCTAGACAATGAACTGCATAGAAGCTTTGGGTGTTTCGTGCTTGTCATAGCTATAAGATTGAAACCACCTGCTGGCGATATGAGAGTAGGGTAGTCATCCCGAGCTGTTCGAAATAACGAATTTTAACACACAAAGTACACGCCGGCCAGGTAGGGCATTCACCTTCTGACAATATCCGTATCCTAGTCAAAAACTGTTTTGCTGCTGAATTGCTTGCTGCGTCCAACGCTGCTAATGTCAGGATCCTGTCGAGGCTGCCAGATGCTAGACTTGATGATACTAATGAACCGATGAAATAGTTTGAACAACCTAACTCAAACGTAATAATCTCAATCAATATTCGAAATTTTCTTAATAACTTCTATTTCTAGCTAATACAGCTATACTACTCGCCATTCAATTTGATCAGTAGCGTGCTTCTGTTCACCCCTGGTTGGCCACCAGAAGGATTTAACGGTAGAATACGGCTATCCAGATTTAGCATAACTAAACAGATATTGAGTTTGTCATCGATATTCACTAGAAACCCGGTCTTCTAGGTGCTACTTTTAGACACCTTTTGCCACACCTCGGCTGCCAGCGCAACTAGATACATTTTAATCCCATTTCATTCTACGGTGATGTCGAGGAGTTGCTTAGCTATTGGGACCTAGGATAGGCAGCCGGTTTCGACTGTTACATATCCCAAGGAATATAGTTGAAAACAAATGCTTTTACCGCATGCCTCGATCTCTAAAAGTACATTTCACAGTTCAGAGCGCCCAGCTTCCATCTGCTCCGAGATATTTCCAACCCGGTCTTCGAAGTTGCGTGACAATGGGTATTGTTATTATCTTCCTCGAAGGCGTAGTACTGCGGAAGATCGAAGTCGGCAAGAAGCTTCTTTCCTATAAAATGGTCTTTAGCATCTAATATTCTAACCAATGTGAGTTATAACATCCCTCATACTTGAATCCGGACCCGGAGACTTTCTCATGGGAAGAACTGGGTTGTGTCATTCGCCAAAAAGTGCCGCGTTGAGCTCTTGTTTATGGCAACTGGGCAACCTCGACGGGAGAACTCCAAGCGACATGTCGCCAGGGGGAAGGGAACTTCTCTTCACGGTACAGCTTTGCTACTATGATCATCAAGCTAAGTTGAGTTCCAGTACCTTTTATGTCTTCTACCCGCAGGTATTCAACGACAAATTGATTGTTAAGTATATGGAACTTTAAACATCTCCGGTCGGGATAAATCTTGGATGAGGTGTCTAGAGTGATGATAGATCACTTCTTATTTCGATTTCTTTCAATATATAAGCTGTTAAGGTACACGAAGACTGAGCTTCCAAAGACAGGGTGTTGGTAATTGATTTCTCTGCAAGTGGTGATCGAGGATCGCATCAATATAGAAAGAAGGGAAGACATATACTTAGATAATCTTACGGCTAGTCTTCAGGAGCATACGCCATAAAACTTACTGGGGAATAAGACATAGAAAAGTAGTCTATAACTGCAAAGTAAAGAAACGTGGATGAACTGGAACATTTACCTGCCAACTAATGGGATAGAGAGCTATCGAATCACAGTTATGATCCCCGTTGCCGTTAAGATCGAGGGTATTTGCCTTAGGGCGGACAGCACTTTAAAAATCGAAACAATCCCTATCAGACTCAATGAAGTTGGGGTAATTCGAGTATGTATGCACTAGGCATAGTTCATAGAGCATACCCTGGACTACAGTATTTTGAGAGGAGAGATACTTTCTAAATGCGGATTATGTGTAGCTCCAACATCTACGTTGCTGTGAAATAATCGCGATCATCATATCTTATAGATAAGAGCACATATAGTCTGCTGTACAGGAAGAGAACTGATAAAGTGAATGTGTCCTTGGTAATTGGGCAACTAGAAATGAGAATACGTGAATGATTAAGGCATGCATTATGTAACCACCACTTTATGCAGTCTATCAATGTATTGAAGGCACCCTTAGCTTTAACGCAAAACAGCTTAACCATAAATATCGTGTAACTGGCTATGGCGGAAGAAGGTTTCATTCTCATTTCTGATTGGCGATGACTTCCCACACACTCTTGAAGTTGCATTGTCATAGCACACGCATCGTAGCATTTGATGTTGTGCTCTACATAACCGTACATTGTCGAACCGCACAATTTCTATGAATAGTAAGACCGGAGGGCGAATTGAATAATATCATGCAACGCCCGATATATACTAGGAGAACTAATGGATGATAATCCCTAGACCTCGAAAGAAGACCTCATTACGTGGCAGAGTCGGCATCAACAACACCCCAACACGAGCGTGACACGGACTCAGCACCACAGGCAACTGAGGGAAGTAGTGATCTAAATTTGGAGCTACTTTTTCAATGCATGTCTTGCATCAATTGAATTGGGGGAGGGGGGAAAGGGGTCGTAATGGGTCGTAATGGGTGCGCATCATCGATCTATGTTCTCTTGATGAAAACGGAGTAGCAGGAAAGAATAAATGATATCTGACTGAGTATGGATTACCTACGTCCTATAAATATTCGAAGCTGATAATTATCATTGCATTCCTGGTCAATTCTAGCGAGTATTTTGAAATTTGGTCTTACAGCAAGCTGGATAGAATCTCAGCTAAGATCCAATTACCTACAATGGGTAGCCGTTGGAAGGGTTCTATGCATTCCACTGGCGCTGCAAATTGCAGATCAGATACGACGTAAGAGCGGGAACGCCGACTGGATGATTTCCCCAGGCACTTACTCTCGTCGTGCTGCGCTGGCGCACCCCGTAAGCAGACGGCGTTTGTGGAGTGTTCGAAGCACGAAGTTTGAAACTCGGCTGGTCTTGGCTCTGAAACGGCATGTCTCTTCAACTGGGAAACGAGGGCAACACAAGGGACTTATAATACGATATGCAGGTGTCGGGTTTGCGAGACCTAAGTATATAGGTACTGTACCTGTTCGCATCTAGATTCCCTACTTGATAGGTAGACGTTGACGTCGACAACCGTGACCCTCCTGCCCCCCATCGAAGCTCGAGCTCCAACCCCGGATTCTTGCAGCTCCGTGCGGCTATCGAGGTTCCGTCAGCTCGATGGTCGGCAGCCCCCAAGCTGATTTAGTCTAGATGCCACCATCGAACACTCGGAGACAACCCAACTAGTTGGGGGTTGTCGGGTCTTCAGTCCATGGCACGTAAGTACGCATCTGGAAATTCAGGACAGCCTTACTTTGTAGGGCGATCTGTGTCTCATAGACTCAATAACGCATTTCACTGTAACTCTGATGCCATGCCTACTTGTTCAATGTTTTAGCTCAGGCAAATACATAAGCTTAGGGTGGTATTGTGTTTTCCCACTCTCCAGATGCCTTTCCTCAGCATTTGTACGGGTAACTGCGGCAGTGCACATGAAAGAGTGGATGAAATCACCTGCGTTAGCGTGTGGGCTTTTTGACTGCTGGGGGCTGAGCCTACTTACCTAAGGAGGTTAGGTTAGTAGTTAGCTGAGCCTCATTCCGCAATTGTAGAACCCACTTATTGCTGCAGGGCGCTGCTCCAAGAGCTGAACAATTTTGGTGCCCTAAGCGGGGTATTTTCAGTACAGCGCACTCAGCAAGTAAATCTTCTGAGACTATCGAGACGACACGTAGTCTTCCGTCGGGGTTGAGAACTCATTTTATCTTATACATATTCGAGAAAGAAAAGGGTTGCTTCCGTAGGTGAGTGAGTAGGTTAGGTAATAAGTAATTGAACAGGTGGGTTGTCGGCGACCACACGCACCCAAATGGCGGGGTTGTCATCATTGGGGACTCCATCAACAGTGAAAGCGGTGAACGCCTCTGCTAAGTCGTGCAGTGTTTCGTGTTTCAGAGGGGGATTACTTACGCAGTTGGTGGTGGGTTAAAACCGCCCTTGTCAAGTATTCTTGGCACGCTAGTTGACGACCCACCATGTCGAAGGTATCTCATCTCGAGGTACTTACACCAAAAATTCAAGCGCAAAGGCCAAAATCCGGCTCGAGCGTTACCTCAGCCACCGCGCACTAAAGTGCCACAGGCCCGCAATACCTGACCAGGTGTATCTAACAGGGGGGTAGGATTGTACTTACGGTACCCACACCAATACATACTTAGTAGATTCACCTTGTTGCTTGTACATGAATTCACCTGCCTATTTTCCCTGTGAGGATTATTACGCCGCGAGTATGGTATATCTATGAGAATAATAATAAGCGAGCACGTCTAGGATAGATTTTGCAGAGCGTATACCCCTTATCTTTCTGTTCGCTTATATTCCTAATTGAAGAATATCTAGGATGACATGGTTGATAAAAGTCCATGAAACGTTACAATTCAGGTTATATGGATGTCTGTGCTGCCTTGGTTCGTCTCC